TCTGCTGGCAGCCGACACGCTGGTTCTTCCATCGGCACTGCTGCCGGTTACTCCGCTCCCTCTCTCGGAGCCGGCTCTGGCTCTGCCTCTTTCTCTCTCTGCTGCCGCGTGTGGCGGCTGCTCCTCACCTCGCTCTTGCTCTCTCTCACTCCTCCGGTCTCCTTCTGTCACCCACCCCGCTGCCTCGGCAGGGCCGCTTTTTGTTTCCTCCGGGAGGTGTCCTCCGCCCCCGCTGCTCTGCCGCAGCCGGATAAACGCCTGGCTAATCACCCGCGCCGGCGTCCTCTGCGTACACGCCTCCCCCGGCCCTTCCGGACCTGCAGGAGGTGAGTAGGACTCCTTGCTGCCCCGGGGTTCCTTTGGCGTCCCAGCTCCCCTGGGACAGTAATATTAATTTTTTCTTCTCCCTTATTATTTTACACAGCAAACCTCTAACCTAAGTATACAAAGACAATACAGGGGAGTCAGTCTTCAGTTGTCACGTTAAAGCTAAATTCTTCATATCTTACTTCACTTTTATTACCTGTGAATTATTAGGGCCACCTTGTTGATTACGGTAAACAGGACTTGATCCATTTGCACTGTAACTTGTTTTTCAGTATAGAATTCTAGCATATACGTAAAACATTAAGATAAATCTGCTCTGACATTTAATTTAAATGGTCTTTTATGTTCTATAATACCTGCCATTCATATTTGCAACAGTAAGGTGGTAGGACTTCAAGTGGTAAAATTTGAAGATATTATTGATATTGTTACTATAGATTTGCTATAGAACTTTCAGCTTTTTATGTATCTCATTTTCATGCTTTTAGTCCACTTTCTCTAAATCTAAACACACGAACTCTTTGGCAGCCAAGGTTTCAGCTATGAAATATTGATGTTCATAGTTTGAACAATGCTGTAGACATAGGAAATATCAAGTAGTTGGTTCAAACCAGAAGGATACAAATACTAGTTGCTTTACAAGGATGAGTCATCCAGCCTTTCCAGCCATGACCTGTAGATTTCCTATAACTACATTACTAAAAAAATACCAGAAATGTTGCTGTTTATGGTATGGCAGGCCATCAGAGTGACTGCTGTTTGGATGGACATGGAGGTCATGGGCTAAATTCTGCTTCACCACTAAGACACGTGGGTGGCATTTACTCCATTTTTAGACAATCAAGTCACAAAATAAATTTTTACTTCACCCAGCAGCCTGAATCCTACTAAGATGTTCACATTTCTTATTCATCTACATTTTCGCCTTTTGCAGCTAAGTTTTCATTCCTCTACATGCTAAGTTCAATACAGCCACCAAAGCATTCAGCTTCATTTATGTTCCCTGGTCATTCATTTTCCATGGAGGTGTGTAAATGTCATGTGAGACCCTCAAAACTCTAGTTGGCAAAAAAGCATTTAGTGGCCATTTCCCATTCCTCATGATATGGCTTGACAGCAGGAGGTGCCTACCTTTTGCTCTGCAGCTTAGTGAATAAAACTGTTGTCTGTGATATGGCAGTCTCAACTTCTGAGCCCTTGTTCCCAAGGGAGGATATAAAACCACATCTCCCACACTGCAAGCCTGTCCTAACTAACCACCAGGCCGCAGGCTAGATACAACTTCGTACACACTCGCGTTGAAGCTAGGGCACTGGCCAGCCAACAGAGAAAGATTAAGTGGGATAAAAGGAGAAAGAGCAAGAAGAAGACTTTCTTTGCAGTCCAGAGAGACAGACTGCCTTTTGTCTAGGAGTGATGAATGAGGCTTTGTTTCTGTTCATTTTGTATTACATACTTATTGGGAAAAGCTGCAAAACTACACTGGGAGCCAGAGAGGAGGCTTTTCCATGTGGCGCTCCATCTGGTTGAAACTCCCTTACAGTGAGACTGAAATATGTTATCTAAGATAGTATTTGGAAAGTCTTTTAGTGATAGTCCTCATTGCAGTAGTTCTTGATGGATGAAATGCTCATTATAAGACACTACTCGGAGTACTTTTCAGGATGGAGCATGAGCCTCTGTTTGGAGAAGAAAACATTAAACCTCAAAGTCTCTGCTTTCATAAAGATAAAGCCACACATGTACAGTGTCCAGCATTCTCCAGCAATCTGTCATTAGTGCACTGCATTATGACACACCAGCTTACTTTTTCCTACTTCAAATCTCGTTTGGAATTGCCCATTTCTGTCACACCTCTTACTATACCTGACAGAAGGGTGGAAATTCTACTTTCTCAATGGGGAGTTTAGAGCTGTGGCCCTCCTGGATAAAATACAGTCCGTTTCTGGTGGTGCCTAAAGGTGCTTCATTGAGATGAACTAGAACTTTGTGATTCTGTAGAGTGAAATCTAATGCACCTCTGGCAGCTTCTTATTAAAAGAATAGACCTACCCATCTACACAGGCGAAGTAGAATCCCTCCCTGTGCTGGGTGACATTAGCACAGAAAAGGTGGAGACTAGGTCAGAGATTTCTTAGCAGCAGAATAGAATTTAGTCCTATGACCTTTTATTCCTCACAGACTGATATGGAAAATCTAGATTAAAAGTATGTGTGCAATTTGCCTTTCCTTCACTGATTAAGTTTCCAGTCTTCATTTTGTGTTTTCATAGGATTTATACATCAAGCACCACAGAAGAGGACGATCCAAAGCCAAAAAAACAAAAATCTCATAAAAAAGAAAGGAAAAAGGAGAAAAAGAGTAAATCTAAAAAAGGAAAACACCACAAAAAAGAAAAAAAGAAGAGAAAAAAGGAGAAACATTCATCATCTGATAGTTCAGACACTTCTAGTAGTGACTGAGGAGTTAAATCATTCTACATTTGTTCCTCTAATGGCTAAGATGATTTGCCTTTCTAATCTGTCCTATTTATGCTTTTGCAGTGTTGTTGGGTTAAATATATATATATATTTTTGGTAAACTTATTTACAAATACCAACACTTTATTAAACTGAAACATTTGAAAATGATCTATATGCATTTACTTCTTGCCATTCTAATGCAATTTTATTACTACCGTTTTATACAACTTGGACCAAGAAAATAAAATAGGGTTTACTTTTTTTAGTCCACTATCAACAGTTCTGCTTTGAATCCCAGGACCTCGCAGAATATAATGATCTTTGAATTGCAAACAGTACTAGAGAAAGATTTGAAATGATTAAGTTACTTTGCACTGAAACATTCTTTAATGAAAAACATACCCATTTAAGTCATAAAACCTCAATTTAAAAAAAAATATATTTGGCACAACGTGCAACCTGTCAAAACACAAAAGCAATAAACACAGACATAAGAGAGAGTTACTTTTGAAAGGGCAATGTAGGGAGCTGTGATTTGTTACAAATAACCATCTTCTAGAATCAATCTGATAATGTGCTTTGAAACATATAGTCATTTGTTTTCCGGAATGCTCAAAGTGAGCTTGTCAATACACAAACATTTTGTAATTACTATCATTCTTCAGAGTCCTTTTCCCTGGTTTTGTTTCTTGCCCTTAGACACTTTTCTTGCCTAAGGTAAATATCAACCAGGGGTATCAAAGATCCAGCCTGTGGGCCAGATTCCAGCCCATAGAGCCACATCATCCAGCCCCTGGTGCTGGACCTGTGTGGGGCCAGTCGCCAACCTCCTCCTCCTCCCCCAGCTCTGGTCAGTCCAGGATGAGGGCTATACATGGTGCCTACTCCGGCTAGTCCAGAGCAGACATAGAGTGCAGTGCAGTCCTGGACTTACCAGAACAGGTTCTGTATCTGGTGTGGAGAGAGGGGGGGTTGCTCTAAGTCTCCTGTATGCTGGGTCTAAGCACCTGCTCTGACAAGTCCAGGACCTGTGCTGCACACAGCATCCAATCCAAACCAGCTGGAGCAGGCACTGCCTGCAGCTCATGTTCCAGTCCAACCAGAGTTGGCACTACATGTGGCACAGCCCTTGAGAAGCAGGAGCGAGTGCTGCAAGTGCTTGATCTGGCATATGGGTATGAGGGGGAGGATCTGTGGGCCTGGTCTGTCCTGTGGGGTTGGCACTGCACCATCCATCCATCCCATGGACTGGTCCAGTGTTACTTGTCTGGCCCATGGGGTGAAATGAGTTTGACACCCCTGATCTAAACAGATATCTGGTGTGTATCTAGTGACAGTCAAGCCAGGTTGCCTGCAGCAAGGGTGTCAAACTCATCTGGTCCCCCAGGCCAGATGAGTGGCATTGGGCCAGTTAGTAGGCCAGACCAGACCCACAGGTTGGCCCTGCATTCCAGATTTGGAGTGGGTGCCTCTGGAGTTGTGCTACACAGCCCTAGAGCCCCCAATGCAGGGCTGTGCTGCACACATGGCCACTGCTGTTTCAGGACACAAGCTGGAGCAGCCCCCGGGTGCAGTGCATGGGGCCATCCCATGTGCCCAGCAAGCTGCCTGTGGGTCACTTAGAGACCCACAGCCAGCACCTGTCCCTGACTGTTACAGCTCCACAAACCGGATTCAGCCCACGGACCACGTCTTTGACATGTTTGTTCTACAGCAGTCTTAGGTGTGTCAGTTTACTCTGTTAAGAGTACTTGCCCGCTCATCTTCATGAAAAGGTAGAATCCAAAAACTGAAACTTTGGATAGTCTTGATAATCTCATGCACCATTTTGTTAACAGTAAATGACATCAAACTTTTCTTCTGTGTAAACAAGGTTCTGTTTCTACCCCACTGAAATCAGTGGAAAAACATACTATCTGGTACAATGGAAAGAAGATCTAGTACTTAAATACCAATATTTCTTGTTCAAAAGATTAATAGCCCATTTCAAGGCATTCATAGCCCATACTTGTTTGGTGTTCTACTTCTACAAGTTCAGTTGCCCATGCTTTGCTATCTTTCAACAGTTTTTCTCATTTTCTTCAAACAGCAGGTGAAGGCATGCATCCTTGTTTGACTCTAGGGTGATATTTTGAAGAGAAATTTTAGTCTGTTGATTATTATGTTACAACCTAGAGCCTTTCCGTGATCATGACTTTAAGCCATTGTCCATAGCTTTAATAATGCTTACTATTTTGATGGGAATTCCACAGGTGTGTGATATTTTCCATGGGATTTCCCAGTGTATGGAATCAAAGGCCTTTATTCCTCAACTTGGTGTATTTTGAAAAGTGGAGTTCCATTCTGTGCTTTGTTCTGATATGCTTCTAAATATAAAAAAATTGATCTTAGAATTCTTTATTTTGTTTGAATCTAGCCTGTTCTTTTCTAAATCTCTAGCATTTTGCATTCTGGTCATGGTTCTACAGAATATTTTGCTTGCAGCTACAACTAATGTGACACATTTGCAGTTGTTACTTTCTGAGCTGTCTCCTTTCTTAGGTAGTTTTACTATTGTAACGTCTTTCTATTCATTTGGTGTTATGCCTAATTCCTAGGTCTTCCTGAATACTTAATTTGCTATTCTAGATGAATCTCTGGTGTCTTCATTCTATAATTCTCCATTTAAGTTGTTTATTCCTAGGGCCTTGTTTTTATGACCTTTGCAATCTCTTTGTGAGGTTTCTTGGGATCTTGTATTCTGTATACTCGTCTTTGCAGCAGTTTGTTTCTTCCGCCAAATCCTCTAGATACTTTTTGTCTGTTTTAGCATTTCTTTCACTTCCTTGTCCTTTTCCTTATGATATTTTAATAAGTGTTCTATTTGCTCTAGAGTTTTGTTACTGTTAATTGTTTGTTTTAGCTCTTTGCTGCCTTCTACTGTCTTCCAAGTTTATTTAGGTATCCATTCTTTTCAAATTTTGTTTCTGTATTTTCTTTTCAGCCTCAGCATAAATCAAACTCATCCTTTGATTCAGGGTGTCTATGTTATGTTCTTCCAGCCTTCTCTCTAGGGCAACAAATCTGTTTCTGATTTCTGTGTTAAGGTCACTGCATGCTGCTGATATTTTAAGTCTGTCGACATCCAGTTCTCCTTCCTGCTTGTTTTGGTACAATTTTCTTTATTGCACCTGATCTGGGTTGTTTGAAGTTTGTGATTACTAATAACCTCAGTTCCCTTTAGAGTTGTAACATCCATCAGTGAGGTTCTCCGCTTCCTCTTTTAGAATATGATTGATATAGTTTTATCCATTCCAGCTGGTGATGTCCATTAGGGGTGTGCAAAATAGGCTGTATTCGATTCAGGTTCAGATTCAGCTTGAATCGGGGACCGTGATTCAATTCGTTGATTCGGATCAATGTCTCCAATTTGATTCGGTCAAATCCGAATCTGACGATTCAAGGCTGATTAGGAGAATCAGCAATTCAACCATAGACACAGCTTTAAATGTTTTTTCTATGTACCTTGAGGCATCAGGCGTGGCTCATGAATGCTGCGATGCTAGGGTGGATGAAGCATCCCACGGGAGTGCGGGGTGGGGGACCGTGTGCTCAGTGGTAAACCCAGAAGTGGACCGGAGGTACTTCCAGTCCACTTCCAGGTCTGCTGGGGAGCTCACTGGGGGATCCCGGGATTCTAGGTGCCCCTCCAGACGCTGGAGGCACCAGGCGCAGACCCAGAAGTGGACTGGAAGTGCTTCTGATCCACTTCTGGGTCTGCTGTCGAATGCGCTGGAGAGCTCCCCGCACTCCCATGGGACACTCCATCTACCCCACCAACGCAACATTCATGAGCCTCCTGGTACCTTGAGGTGTATAGAAAAAACATTTAAAGCTGTATCTATGTCCAAATCGCTGAATCTTGCTGAATCTTCCTGAATCTCTCCGAATTGATTCGGAGGGTTCTAATTCAATTCAGAGAGATTAAAGGGTCCTTTGATTTGATTCGAATTCAGAGATTCGGCCACTGAATTGGGCTGAATTGAATCAGGGACTGAAGCTTTGCACAGCTGTAATGTCCATGTGTATTTGTGGGTCTCTTGGGGGATGGGAGGAGATGAATATTGTTCCTCTGCAGCCTGGGTTATTAGCCTCAAAGAATTTTTGGGCATATCATATTGTATAACCTGTTAGTATTTTTTTTTTATGGTGAATGAAATTGTGCAGCTATTATTTATTCTTTTTCCAGATTTCCATTCTTCTTTTAGTATCTCTTTTATGCATCCCTGAAATATGCTTGTTTCTTCCCATTGGTGGGAAGAGACTTTGTATTTAGAAAAGTAATTGTTGTCTTTTAATGATCTTTATGGTGCATCTGTTACCTTACATTAGATTAGTCCTAATTGTATCACTTTAGTCTTCATTTTAGAAGACTTCATGCAGCAGCTACAATTCATCCATTATCAAGCCTCTTCCTATTATAAGAAGATGATGTGTTGTACAAGGGACCCTATATCTCATAACGTTTTGTGTAACAACATTTCTACTGACATCTATTTATATTTAATGAACTGTGGAATATAGCATAAGCTGTAAACTGGTTGCTCTGGATTTCTTTTTCCTTCCTTAAACCATTTTAGTGAAGAAACAGTAGGATTCCATGTTTATGATACTGTATGTTATTCATTAATCTACTATCTGAACAGAAACAATTCAGCATAAATGTATGATAAAATAACACTAACAATCTTTTTAGAATGAGAACTGTTACTGTCACTCTTTTAATCTTCATTTATACTTTTCTGCCTTCATGCTTCACCCAAGCCTGTACAAATATGGGCTAGTTTTTACACTATGGGCCAAATTAAGGTCATTTTATTCATGGAAAAATCTTTGAAGACAACAGGACTTCTAATCTGAGAAAGATGAGCAGGATTTAAGGAAGATATACTTGTGTTAAAAGAATAATACAGTGAACAATTTCATTAAAATGAATACTGTACACATTTATCACTTTTTAATATCTCCATAACTGAGAATATATATGCTGTCTCTCAGTGCTGCTACTACCCTGGGTCCCAGCAGGAGTTTTAGTCTGCTGCTCTAGTTTGAGACAAAAGAATGCTGTTTCAGCAGATACGTGCATGTGAAAACAACAAGGTTTCTATCTATAAAACAAATAT